CTCTTTACCACCTCCATACCGAGGGCTGCAGCTAGCTCCAAGGGTATCTTTGTGCAAATGAAAAAACCAGTGCAGGTTTATTAAGATGGAAGCTGGCCCTTGCTGAAGCACATGATTTGGTGAGTGGAACGCTCTCTCTGCCTCCATCCAGAATCAGAGACCTTGTGTAATCAGAGACTTTGTGAATATTCTATTTTTCTATTTCTTTCCAGTTAGGCTCCAATGCTGAAAAGATGAGTTTTCATACATCTACTAGAGTCCAAGAACATGATTACCCTTACCAAAGTTCCAGATGTATGGCTGTCTGATCCATGATATGGTTTTGGTTCTTCTCAAGTTCCCAGGTAGAGAAGATAGCATGGACCTTCTGGATTTCTCAGTAGTTCTGGGCAAGAACAGGTCCTCAGAGGAACTTCCAGTAATCCTGGCCCTCTCATGTATTATTTCCATGAGCTGCCACTCTCACGTGGGGACTTAAACCAAGAAAATGAAGAGTGTGACTAAGACTGGCTGCTAAGCAACAGCTCCACCCTGGAAGTCCCTCTTCAAGTCATTGTGACATTGATTTGTGCAAGGCAGCATTGTGGTTTAAAGAGAGCCAGAAAGACCTAATTTTTGAGAATGAGGTCCATTAATTACCAGCTCTGTGATCCTCGGCAAGTTGCTTATCCTCACAAGGTCTCGATTTCCTCACTCTGAAACCTGGGGACAATACTCACTAAATAGGACATAACCTATATAAAGTACATTGCCCGATGTTTGAAATATTCAGCTTGCTTTTTTTTTTTCTGTACAGCTAAATGTTTAATAAGTCAGTACTCAAGGCATCAGGAGACACCAAATATGGTCAGGACACCACACAGAAATGATTGGGATGCAAGTCATCTACAGGCTCACCACCATTGGTCCTTCCTGGTAGAGAATGGAGAAGAGACTTTTAAAAACGTATGTCCTGTTTTTTTAGCATATAGTGGGAAGGCAGAGAGTTTCTCTTGTATGTGACTCTTTTCGGTTGCCTTCAAATCAAAATAATACTTATTTTGAGGTGGCATATTCTGGTCTCTTACATTGTATTCAAACAGGTTGCTGCTACTTCTTTATTGTCATTAATCTTTTCATCATCTTTTTATTCCTCTTAGCACAGTCAGGGCATAAGATGTTATCTTCTATGCCTGGGGATGGGAAAATGCAGGCAGGTAACCAGAAGAGAGCATTCATCCTCCTGTAAGTGGTAGGCACCCAGGACTGACCTGCATGAAACTGCAGGCGTACCCAATCCTTTGTGTCTGCTGAGAGAAGTGTGCCATAGACCACACACCACCTGACATGAGGGGTCAGCTTGTTAATTCCTATCTCACTTCCTTTACCTAATTCATTTATTAATTCACCAAGTATTTATTCTCTTATAATATGCCAGGCCTTGTTCTAGGCAGTGAGAATGTTGCAGTGGACAGAAATACCTTTCCTCATGGGGGTTAATTCTAGTGAGGGAGGTAGACAATAAAAAAGATAAATACACTAAATGAATGGTAGGTCAGGTAGTGATGAGTGTCAAGAAAGGGCAAAAGAAGCGCAGCAGGGAGAGGTGGAGAAAGAGGTTTCAAAATTAGGTTGAGTGACTAGGAAAGACCTCACTGAGAGGGTGACTTCCAGGAAAAGCCTGAAGAAAGTGAGGGAAAGAGTCAAATGGAAATCTATGGAAAGTGTGTTCTAGCTTGTATGAAGGCCCTGAGGCAAGACATGCCTGGAATACTTGAGAAACAGCAAGAAGATGACGTAGTTGGAATGGAGTGAATGAGAGTTGTTGGAGGTGAGGTCAGAGTGGTCAGGGGAGCTAGCTCACGCTCACCCTCTTTTTGCACACAGTAGGTGCACAGTAAACATGCATTTGAATGATCAATTAATATGTAAAAATGGGAAGAAAAATGGAGGAGATGCTACCTTTTTTGGCTGCAGTAATTTCCATGTTCTAGAAATGGTGGCAGAATTAATCTTTGTGGGAAAATAGTGGCATTGAAAAAGGTGCTAGTTTTGAAAAACACTTTGATTTAGCCACTGGACACCATGTTGTTCAAAGACGCTCTTCCTCAAAGCCAACAGCTGATATCGTGTCATTTTTTCATTAACTCCAGAGCCCCACATCCCCATGTCCCCCCTTGGTGCTATTTACCTTAGTAGTGACCTAAATAGGCAACTCCTTTCAAAAGCCATCCCCAAAATTTCTATGCTCTATTTTACTCCAGTTGTCATCATTCTTTGACTAGAAATATAATGACATTACTAGTGATACCCACTTTTACTGTCTCTTGCCTTCCTCTGCTCATTGAAGACACAAGTCCCCCACTTCTATGTCTTCAATCTTCAAGGCATGTCAAACAAGTGCTCGGTCAATCCATTGGCTACCATCACCAAGAGTGCCATTTTCCGATATTCTTTAATCCTTTTTTTTTGAGACGGAGTCTCGCTCTGTCGCCCAGGCTGGAGTGCAGTGGCGCGATCTCGGCTCACTGCAAGCTCCGCCTCCCGGGTTCACGCCATTCTCCTGCCTCAGCCTCCCGAGTAGCTGGGACTACAGGCGCCCACAACCGCGCCCGGCTAATTTTTTTTTTTTTGTATTTTTAGTAGAGACGGGGTTTCACCGTGGTCTCGATCTCCTGACCTTGTGATCCGCCCGCCTCGGCCTCCCAAAGTGCTGGGATTACAGGCGTGAGCCACCGCGCCCGGCCCGATATTCTTTAATCCTATTCCAACTTCATCTCATCAATGTTGAATTTAGATCCTGTCACCACCCCTCATCCCTGCTATCACTTTCCAATGGCTTTGCAGCCCACTTACAATAAAACACAAACTTCTAACCATGTTTCAAGCCCTTGCATGATCTGACCCTTGCCTATTTCTTCCCTGTACCCACCACCTCATGGCCATACTGGGCTTCTTGTATCTAACACTCCATGTTCATTTCTACCTCAAGGACTTTGTACTTAGTCCCTCTGCGCAAAACACACTTTTTCCAGATCCCAAAACAGACAACTCTTTTTGACCGTCAAGGCCATCTTGTATAGGACCTCCTCAGAGAAGCCTTCTGGGATTGCTCAAAATAAAGTAGTCTCCTCTTTTGGTCACTTTCTATCACTGTTTTACTTTTCTCATTTGTTCATTTGCTTATTTATCATCTAACACTTCCGCCAGCAAAATATAATCCCCATGAGAGCAGAGTACGTCTTCTTTACCACTATGTCTTCAGTACCTAGAATATCACTTGACACATAATAATCAATAAATGGTGTGAGTTTATGAATGAATGATGTTGCCCAGAGAGTGGTGTGTGCCTCATCACTGCCACCAGTGCTGTCATCTCCCATGAGAACAATGTGGTGTGTGTCAAGGGAGGCAGGTAAAACATAGTAGATAAGACTGTGAGCTCTGGGACCAGCCCACCTGGCTATGTGTCTGGCTCTGCGAATAACTAGCTGTGTGATTTGGGGCAGGTTAAAGAATTCGTCTCTACTTCAGTTTCCTGGAGTTAACGTTATCCACCTCATAAAGTTGCTAGGAAAACTAAAGAAGAAAATACATGTAAAACACTTAGAACAGTTTGATACATAGTAAGAATGCCAGAAAAAAGAAATGAGCCTTTATATTCTCATTACATTATTGAGGTTTCTTTCATTTGCATGTAAAAGAAACAAACTTTAGTCAGTTTAAGCAACAAAGAGGAATTTATTATGTAGTTATAGGGATATTTCACAAAATCCATAGGCAAAAGTGCATCTGGGCCTCAGGAAAGAACCATAATCAAGAGCTAGAAAGCCATCTATCTGGCCAGGCAAGCTGTCTCACGCCTGTAATCCCAGCACTTTGGGAAGCCGAGGTGGGTGGATCACTTGAGGTCAGGAGTTTGGACCAGCCTGACCAACACAGTGAGACCCCATCTCTACTAAAAATACAATTAGTATTTTTGTATACAGTTAGTATACAAAAATTAGCTGGGCATGGTGGCACGTGCCTGTAATCCCAGATACTTGGAAGGCTGAGGCAAGAGAATCACTTGAACCTGGGAGGCAGAGGTTGTAGTGAGCCGAGATCATGCCACAACACTGCAGCCTGCTGACAGAGTGAGACTTCATCTCAAGAAAAAGAAGAAGAAGGAGAAGGAGGAGAAGAAGAAGAAGGAGAAGGAGAAGGAGAAGGAGAAGGAGAAGAAGAAGAAGAAGAAGACGGCCATCTATCGGTACATGTTTTCTCTCATCTCACATCCTGGCTTTTCTCTGTAGCTCAGCTCTACATCTAGGACGACTTTCCTTCCCTAGTCCCTTGCTACAGCTCCTGAGCTTACATATTACAGACCCACCCACGTGAGGGATGACAGGCAATTCCTTGTTCCCAGCTGCAAATGCTGAGGTGTGATGATCTTATTGGCCCTCTTGAGCCTGATGCCTATCCCAGTCAATCAGCCAACCCATCGGAGTGGGTATGCATACAAGCACAGCAGCTGGGGGCCACCACTGCGATTCCAATGGTATATGTCGTCTCCTGAGAAAAGGAGCCTGGCTGGCCCATGGGCTAGGGAGACACCCTACATGGAGTGTACTGCACAAATCTTCCCAAACCTGTCAGTCCAGGAGGTGCTGGAACAGCTCTAGGTGTTCAGTAGAAGTGGAGAGAATGTCCCGGTCTTCCACTCCTTGAGCAAGCCAGGCAGCACTGCCTATGTCCCCCAGTCTCATGGAAGCACCTCAGCTCCTTCCTGAGGAAAACTGCCCGGTGACAGACATATCCTTTTCATGTCATCTCACCCATGCACCAAACATTCAGACATTTCCTCCTTATGGCTTCCAACCTTCATGCAGATGAACATAGGCAGATAGAAGACTGTGGTGCTTTAGCTCCACCACTTCCTCCCACACTCTACTCCACCACTCCACCCCCATGCATAGCCCCTGCTTTCATATCTAGAAAAGGTTTCCACCTACATCACTTAACACCAAGGACACTCAGGTTTTGACTGCTGATTTTATTGCAGGACTTTAGGTAGGAGCAATGCGTCCTAAGCAAAAGGGACTGGAACTCTAGGGAATATAGACTAGGTCAGGTTTATGTCCAGTTGCAGCCATCACAGCTGGTGTCGAAGACAAGTCCGGCCGGGCAGTTCTGCTGGTACGTGACTCCATTCACGCAGTGCCAGAAGGCGTTTCTGTTATTTGCCACTGGGTAGAGGCCATTGGCTTTGCCAGCACAGAATCCACTGCCTCCGGAGCTGCCTCCAGAGCCGCTGCTCCCACTCCTGTTCCCACTGGGAGCAGTAGTTGTTGGCTCGGTTGGCTGAGCTGGAGCCGTGCAGCCTGAAACACAGAGCAGTAAGAGCAGACTAGTGGGCTTGGGAGAGGCTCTAAGCTTCACCTAGAGGTGAAGAGAACTGTGGGAGTGGAAGTGTGGAGGTGGGATGCAGCTGGCTCTGGATCTCTGTAACTCAGAAGAGAAAGTAGCTCCATGTTCAGGAGTTAAGTAAAGCTATTGTGTCAAGCCAGCCTGCCTTCAATTGTAAAAAAAAAAGGTTGCTCTTTCCTTATAACATCCAAATCACTCAACAAATATTTACTAACCACCAAATGTATGCAAAACACTTTTTTAGAATCTGGGCATACATGGTGAACCAATAAATTCTAGGAAAAATCTGGAAAAAATTTAGAGAATTGATACGTCCCCTGAATCACAGACTGGAGATATGTGAGCATTGGTGGGGGTTTCTTAAATCTCCCCAGGTGGGCTGAGAAAGACTTTGAATAAGCGGTTCATAGAGAAGTAGATACTTATACTGATGTTAGTATAATTTCTTGAGGCTCTTCCACACCCTTAAGACTTGGCAGACTTAGAACACCCACCCAGTTAGGCCTGGCTTCCCATAAGTGCATAATGTTCCTGACATGGCAGTTCAAGGGTGGAACCTGTCTCTCACCTGGGCAGGAGCAGTGAGTGAAGTGGAAAGAGGATCCCTGGGCAGAGGGTAGGTGGGAAGACATCAGGGTTGCTTTTTGAGTTGGAGAAGGGGCATTTATATACCTGGGCATTCCCGCCTAGTCCCTTACTTGCACTCTGCAGGCCGAGGACCCTCTTCAGGGTGGAGATTAGGGGAAACTTGCCCTGGTTGCAGAAAGTGCCAGTAAAGTCATCCAGATCAATGGCCCAGACCATGGCGCCTCCAAATTGGTTGCTCTTAAGCCATTGAGGCTGTTTAAAGAAAGAGGATAACAGGAATCACTTGCTTTTCTGGGACTCAGGGCTGGGACCTCAACATATTCAAGGGACTGATCTTACCTTAATATTGAAGCTGTTGACGTTGTCATAGCCAACCCACACATTGCCCTGATAGGCATAAGGCACTTTCTTAGGGTCATCCCATTCCTGAGTGGCTCCATTTTTCAGGATCTTTCAAAAGTCAAGAGATTCAAATCTTTTAAATGTTACTCCCATTAAAGAAAAACATGTTTCTAATTTTTCTTCTTTCATATTTCCAGTTGGGGTTTTGCTCAATTTCTAATTACAGGTTTTTATATGTAGTAAAGAGGATCAAGTTGCTCGTGAAATGATTTTGGGAACCCACAGTAAGATGAGAGGTATATTTATTTTATTACCTGTGTGCTAATATAAATTACATGAAAAAGGTAGTCTGTCATGTGAAGGGATATTATGCATTATTAAATGCTCTTCATTTGGATTATGTAAATGAATGTTATTTAAGCACTTTAAGCAGCTGTGTTTAAAGTATTTAGGTCAGAGACAGAATGAACATTCAAGATTTCAGCAGATTCTAGCTACCCTAAGGCACAGTGTATGGAATTCACAGAGCACTTTTCAGTCCAATCTATGTACCTCATAGTAAGCCCATGTCCCAGACTCCCTGGTATAGGGCCCAGCAGGACCAGCACCAGAGGTGGGGGCACCAATTCCATCATTGGAGGGGTTGCTCAGGATGAGACGTGTCCATAGGTAGGGAATCCAACTAGGAGCTTCTCAGCTGGGGCTCCGTTGTCCTTCCAGTAGTTCATGACATAATCCTGCAATGGCAGTGGGTTAGTTACAGGGCGCAACCAGATGAGGACCCAGTGCTTAGTTTTATTAGTCCCCTATTCCAACAGGTGAAACTGTATGCTGTTAATTGCAGATTGAGTAGTTTTTTTTTTTTTTCCCAAAACATTTTGGTGAAGTTGTAATTAATGAAATATGATCAACGTGAGGATAGTTGTTTAAGTGAGACACTTGCAGAATTTGTGTTTACTATGCGTCAGAGTCTCTGTGTGATTAACATCATCATCTCTGGTCTGCACTTGCATCTGTACAGGGACTCACCACATTGAGGTAGGCGTTGCTGCCAGTGTCAGTCGGGTATTTGTACAGGGGGCTGTTCTCTCCAGTGTAGCCCTCCCAGGTGCTATGGAAGTCATAGGTCATGACATGGATGTAGTCCAGGTACCTGAGGTGGGGTAGAGGATTTAAAATCATTTCTGATGGTCATTTCCCACACCCACACAGGCACAGGACACCACTTCTAAAGCCTCCTAAACAAGGTCCTTGAATAGCAAGCCAGACCAAGGACAAGCCTAGTGTGCCCGAGTGACACCTCCAGGAGTTTGAAGATAAGGCACATAACTCACTGTGACAGCTGGGGGATCTCATAGCCAGACTGGATGGTGGAGATACCAGCAGCTACTGCAGCAGTGACCAACAGCCTGGGCTTGTTGCTCTGCTTGGCCTCCTGCTCAAAAGCTTGATGCATTTCCTACAGAATAATAAGGCGTAATAGGACATCTATGATGCTGATTTTAGCTCCTTAAATAATAATAATAAACATATGTTTGTATAATGCTCCTCTTTCTTAAATTGCTTTCACATATTTTATTTTACTTTAGTCTTTCAACAACCTAATAAAGTAGATAGGATAGATACTATTATTGAATTTTATGGCTATCTAATATGCATAAGAGTTAGGAGACTTTCACCAAAGTCCCACAGTGAGTTAGTAGGTAGGTAATGACCAAAACCCAGGTCTCAGACCACCACCAGAGCTCCATTGTATCTCTATACTTTGAAGCTATAGTTGCAGTGATACCCTACATCCAGCAGTATAGAAATTTGTTTCATAAAGTAGATGAACTACTTTATAGGACTGACTTCCCAACAAATAAAATGGTGAATTGGCCAATGAGGAAGGTGGTAACAGCTAGATGATAGGTTCCCATTCAATGCTAGAGATTAATCCACCTGTATCTGTGTGACTATAACCTCATTTGGAGTACTGGGTTTAGTTCTTATAATTGCACTATTAGGGCATGCCAGAGTATGTTCCAGTGAAGGCTGGGCCTGAAAATTGTCTTGTTGTTATTGGTAGAAGGAACTAAGATATTTAACTGGAATAAGAGAAATTATAGGCAAGGCGTTACAGCTGTCTTAAGACATTAAGCCCATATATTGCAAAAGGTGTAGCCTTATTTTCTGTTGCTTCTGCAGGCAGAACTAGAAACAATGACCAGAAGTTATAAGTTATGACTGGAGGCATGTTCCAGCCAAGAAAAGAGATATTCCTTTCTGATCATTAGAGCAATTCAACAAGTAAGGAAATTGACTTTTCACCTATTACTTAACACTGAAACTATTCAGAGGCTGGGTGATGATCTGTTACATAGCATGGTATAGCAAACAATCTGTCTTGGGAGACAGTAAGTCTAAAAACCAAGTATATCAAGTCAAGCTTTTTTGTCCTAGACTCCAGATTGATATTTATCTGATGTCTACTGGGCATTCCATTAGGATGCCCTACAGATACCTCACACTCATCAAGTTCAAGGTCAGTTCTTCTTCTTTCAAATCTACACTTCTTCCTGTATTTACCGTCTTACTTAATAGCATTAAAATCAAACCCATCGTCAATGTCAGAAAACTGGGGGTCCTCTCCGTTTCCCATTTCCGGTTGATCTCCAAATCCTATTGATTCTATCCTCTTGATATCTCGTATATACATCCTCTTCTTCCCTCAGTGTTAGAGCCTTTGTTGGGGCCCTGATCATTTCTTCCTTGATTTACTGCAAAAACCTCCTAATTCTATCCATGCCTTCTCATCTCCTTCTAATTTGTCCTCTATGGTTAAAGCCAGCTCTCTACTATTTAAAATTCTTCAAAACAGTCCCATTGTGTCAAAGGTAAAGTGCAAATTGCTGAACATAATATGAAAGTTCTCACATTGTCTGGTTCTTCATGCAACTTCACAGCCATTACTCACCCACTTGCTCACACTTATCTGTATATCATTTGTGCCATTCCCATCCTCACTTAATTGGTTAACACCAGTTTCTTTCAAGACTGAGCCCAGGCATCACTTTCTCTAGGAAACACTTTCTGATGCTGCCCCAGAGCAGATTTAGGTACTCTCTTTCCTTGTTTACTTTTGTACTCTGCAGACCTCTAGCATGGCATTTATCACAATGCACTGTCATTGTTCATTTTTTTCAGTCTTCCATTTCAGAAGAAGTTCTTCAAAGCCAAGGATAGTATCTTATTCTTATCTTTAGCCTGACAATGTCTGCCACAGAATATGTGCTCAGTAATAATGGGCAGCCTACTGTAATACTTAGAAACAATGGACTCTGTAGCCAAACTGCAGAGGCAGTTACGATGCCTACTAGTTGTATGATCTTGGGCAAGTTACTTAAACCCTCTCTGTACTTCAGTTTCCTCATCTGTAAAATAAAGATTATAATACTTATAGTATGTGTGCCGTAGAGTAAATATGAAGATGATGTGAGTTATGGTTCTTAAAGCAACATGTCAAGCAGCACCTGGCACACAGCTCACATATTGTTTTGTTGTTGCTATTAAATGTTTGTTTAATAAATGCATGATACATAAGAATCTTTGCAATGCTAATATCCTATCAGTTTAAATTCAAGTTTAGTTTTCCCCTAGAGCCACCCAATTCTCCTTGGAAAGAAAGACTTTGAATCTTTTTGGGTTAAAGGCTGTGACTTCCTTCCCCACCTGCACCAGGACAGTGAAGAGATGCTTGTCCTGAGGAGGGCTCCCACGAGAGCCAGGGTACTCCCAGTCCAAGTCCAGCCCATCAAACTCATACTGGCGCAGGAATTTGACGACTGAGGTGATGAAAGTCTGGCGGTTCTCAGAAGTAGAAACCATGGCAGTGAAACTGATGGTTCAGTCTCACTGAACCAAAGAAGGCAGGGTGAGGCCCTGGTGGTCCCAACACCTTGGAGTAAAATCAAGCTCTCAATTTCTGCCTCAGAGCCCTTCATCAGGACCCATAGCCCAGAGTAAAGCATGTTCTTGGTTTTCTCCTCTCCTTCCTTTGTAATCACTACTCTTCCCAGCCATGGTATCTTTACATTCCCTTTATTTTGTTATCCCCCCCAAACTCTGCTCTTTCTCCCAAGTTGTCCTTGTTTCTTTGAATACCTGGCAAACCCAGCACACTGGGTCCCTTCCCCAAACAGTCCACCAAGTTCACGTACCCTCCAAGAAGTCCTCTTGTTTATTTGCGTGATTTTCTCATTCCTCTCCACACCAAAAGATAAATAGAGGGAAGCACTGTAACACTCTAATCGGGGTTTGTACTCTTGAAATACTTTATGAAGAGGTTGTTTGGGAACCTCAGTAAGTAAACCTCTGTGGATAAGGCCCCAAAATGTCCACCAAAAATTAAATGTATGAAATAAAATGTGTTCCACTTAATATTGTGGTTCTGGTGTAGCGACTTATTTAATTCATATATTTGTTTATGTACATCCTCAATACCCTGTCTTAGACTGTGAAGTCTAAAGGGACAGTGATCACATGGGGCTAACTTATTCTCAATAGCAAACAAACAACATGCTCTCCAAGAAGACTTACGGGGCAGTCCCGGAGTTCCAGCCTCCAATGGCCAGGAGAGTTTTCAGCTGCCTGTTCCTGTAGAGCAAGGATAGAAACAGATAAATTTCAAAATTTATGACTCCCTCCATTTAAAATGCATTGCCTTAGTATTGGATCTGGTCAGATATTTTTGTTTTGCCTTTTGTAGAACAATTTTCCTCCGCTACTGAAAACTTCCTTTATAAAAATTCTTTGTGTTGTTCTTGTCATGAATGCACTCAGGGTTCCCTAGGGAAATCTAAATTTTGAAACTGGGCTTTAAAAAATATTGTGTATTGGCAGTAACTTTGATACGCGTAACTTTAAAAAGCATCAATAGCTAATATAATATTCTGTTCCATCAGATAAAATAGTAAATGTTGCTTGAGCTTAATTACATTCGTAGCCTCTGTAACATTAACATAAATTAATTGGCTTGAAATTATACACATTCTCTGGAATAGACATTCCCAAACATAAAAGTATGTAATAATTAAGTGCAAGGGTTGTGGGAGGACAAGATTAAAAATCTGGGTTTATCACCTCTTCCCCTGAGATTCCAATTAGGTTGGATTGCAGTAGGGACTAACACTTTAATCAAGTACCACACATGATTTTGAGGCAAGGAGTCAATGGACCACACTTTCAGAAACACTGCTGTAAAGGAGTTTATTTTCTCTGAGTCATTGTGACTTAAATTCTAGTGGCTGCATTCACGATAATACCATTACTGATAGTGGCAATCACCTGTACTTTCCTTCCGTTAAATATGACTAAACTGAACAAAATCAACTCAGAATGAATGAAAGACCTCAATTTATGACCTCAAATTGTAAAACTACTGGAGGTTTTACAAATTGTAAAACTCCAAGAGCTACAACAAGAAGTTTTTCGATACGACCTCGAAAGTGCAGCAACAAAAGCACAAATAGACAAATGGGATTACATCAAGCTAAAAAGCTTTTGCATGACAAAGGAAACAGAGTGAAGGGACTACCTATGGAATGGGAGGAAATAGTTGGGAACAATATGTCAAGTAAGGGGTTAGTATCAAAAATATATAGGAAATGTTTATAACTCAGTAGTGAGAAAGCAAATAACCTGATTAAAAAATGGGCCAAGGACTTGAATAGACATTTCTCAAAAGAAGACATACCAATGGTCAACTAGTGTATGAAAAATGCTCAACATCACTAATCATCAGAGAAATATATATCAAAATCAAATGAGACACCACTCAATCCAGTTAGAATGGCTGTTATCAAAAAGATGAAAGACAAGTGTTGGAGAGGATGTGGACAAAAAGGAACTCTTGCACACTGTTGGTGGGAATGAACATTAGTGTACCCATTATGGAAACAGTATGGATGTTCCTCAAAAAATTGAAAGAATAACTACCATATGATCCAGCAGTTACACTACTGGGTTTATATCCAAAGGAAATGAAATCAGCGTGTTGAAGACATATCTGAATTTCCATGTTCATTGCAGCACTGTTTACAATAGCTAAGATGTGGAGTCAACCTAAGTGCCCATCGATGAATGAATGGATAAAGAAAATGTGGTATTTATAGACAATGAATACTGTTAAGTCTTTAAAAAGAGGCGGAAATCCTGCCATTTGCAGCAATGTGGATAAACCTGGAGGAACTTATGTTAAGTGACATAAACCAGGCACAGAAAGAAAAATACCACATGATCTCACTTAAAAGTGGAATCTAAAAGAAGTTGAACTCATAGAAGTATATAGTAGAATGGTGGTTAGCAGAGGCTGGGGTGCTGTGGGGGTTGGGGGGGATGTTGGTGAAAGGATAAAAAATCTCAGTTACAAATGGGGAATAAGTTGCAGAGGTATATTGTACAGCATGGTAACTATTGTTAATAGCAATATATTGTATTTTGAAAATTGCTAAGAGTACATTTTAAGTGTTCTCACCACAAAAATATCAAGTATTTGTGGAAATGCATATGTTGATAGTTTGATTGAGCCATTCCACACCATATTCATATTTCAAAACATTACATTGTCCATGATAAACACATACAATTTTTGTCAATTATAAAATAAAAATGAAATGCAGAGTCTTGGTCCCCATCTCAGATCCATGGATCTGGACTACATTTTAAGAAGCATTAATGTTTGGGAAGTGCTGAAAAAGGGGATATCAAATTAAATATCTCCCTCCTCTTACTTATTTTTCAGGCCATTGAAAGCTTGGTAGAGAGTCACATCATTCCATTCGATGGTGGTGATCTTGTTGTTCTGCATCCCAGCAAAGGCGTAGATCAGGTGGGTACAGAGGCAGGGGCTGATGTCGTCAGGCGTGAAGCGCCCCAGACCTGACCGGTACTGGGCCCAGTTGGAGAAGTAGCATGTCAGCTGGTAGGCAGAGCCTGTGTGTAGTCAGCAGGAGGGACAATGGCCTGGTTTAGGAGCCACTGAATTGTGCTGTGAGTTTTGGCCCTGCCTCTGTTTCCCTCCCTGTGCCTCAGATGCCTGATCTCTGTGTGGAGGGAGGTAGTATGAACACTCTTGCAGATGCATCCTACGATTCTAACTCAGAACTAGTCAGTAACTTGGGAGTTGTTGATTTTTAACTTTGACAGACTCATTTTGGGATTTTGGATAAGCCTAGGTGGCAGCCTTCTAAGAAAAGATGCCCATAGTCCTATGAAGCCCAGTGAGTACCAGTTTATAATTCAGATGGTCATGCTGAAGAGGACAGCAGTGACAGCCAATCCAAAACACTAGATTACACCCAAATCAAACCCATCTGTCTGTGAAGCAAACAGCAGCTCTCTTTCCCTCATATGGTTTATCTCATATATATATGTATATATTCAATGATAAAACATGGAGTTCATGACTTACCCAGCTGCACATTCAGTACAAGAACAAGACCTAGATAGAAAGAAAAAGCATGTACTTTGAACCAGTTGTCTGTACCCCATAGAATCTAATTCTGAAGGATTGATTGCCTTCCAATTTGCCGTAAATTGTTACAGCCTCAGTGAAATTTAGTGGTGATTCCAAAGGCTTTTCAGTGAACACAACAGTAGATCTACCTTTCCCTACCTTTATCAAAAATGACCATGGTGCCTTCTTCTTACTCCTTCCATGTCACAAATAAATGTTACTGAATGCTGAGTCCGAAGTCTACTATCTATGGAAGACGTACTTCCTGAAATCACCAACTGGTCACTGTACTCAGTGATGACACATCCATTCTTTCTTCCCCTACCTGAGTGATGGAACACAGCCTTCCAACAGACAAGGCACCTGCTAAAGCAGAGAATTCAGTATCTTCTGGGCATTAGGAGTTTTTTGGAATGACTTTCAGGAGCTCTTATATGAGGAGAGAAGAACTAGGAACTATGGGGTTGAGACTCCAGATGACTTTCCCTGACATCTACAAAGCAATTCTTCTACTCTGATTGTTTTATAAATTGAGCTTGAGGTTTCATTCGGAAAAGGTTCTGAAGCTTAAACAGTTTGAAAATCCCAGCTCTAGAGCAACCAATAAATTCTTGGTATGACTTGGCTCTAAACAACTTACTGAATCAATTTTTTTGAATAATTTAATTTCTAACATGTTTATGGTACGTCATCAACTCAGTAGGATAATAGAGGAATAAATGGAGAAATAATTCTGGAAACAGCAGAACAAAGACAACTTGCATAACTCTGTCTCAGTTCCTACTGATTTTCTTCCCCGAAAAAGCTAGTCCAAGGACACAAGCACATCAATAAGCATTATTCCAATTAAAGTGAGACGGTGTAGGAAGAAGAGTAAAGAAAAAGGAATGGCCGAACAAAAGACGAAAAAGTAAGACTAACAGTGGGAGAAAGTAAGCCTTTCCTTTAGGACTAGGTCTGTGGGATTAACAAAAGCAGAAATGTTACCAGAGTCAGTTGAGGTTAAGAGAACGAGAGGCAGACTGATTTGTATATAACAAGATTCACTTGAAATTTGAAATGATGAAAGAAGAATGGAAAAGTATAGAGATGTAATATGAAGACCACTTCATGATTGTCAGAGCCTGTGAGAGAAAAAGAAACCAGATAAGACGAAGGGTCAATCTTTGATTACAAACCCACCTGTGAGGAGAATAAGCTTTGCCATGGTTGCAGTCAGTACCACTCCTGCTAGGTTGGATTTTTATACGTTCTTATTCCATGGTTATCACAAAGGCTTCCAAATGGAGAAACAATTTGACCCAGATGTGTAAGTAGCTGATCAGTAAATCAACAGACCTTCTCTTCTACAAACACCCTCCCAAGACCTTCAACCTACACCTTCCCACCACCAGCATCACCACCTTCTCTGCCCAAAAAGGACAGAACAATGTCATGGTTCCTAACAGGGTGGTGGAGACCATCACCATGGAAACCACCAGTTTAATAGCTTTTTTGGCAGTTCCAAGGGCTGATAAGCATCTGTTTAGATACTGTGATTAAATTTTCTGTTGTGGACATTTTGTGTCTGGCATCAAAGCAAGTCTTTATGGAAAAATAAATAAAAAAAACCTTTGGAAGTTATTAGCTGTTCTTAAACCTTTTTTCCTCGTGGAATTATTCATATGTAATTTGTACAATCAGTGCCTAAGAAATCTTCCCTCTTTAGGTGCTATTTTCTGAATATTCTATTCACACTTGTTTTTTGGAATGGCTTCAAGTCATTACTATGTGATAATTTTATTTAAGAATGTTTGGATCTCAAAATGTCCCCCCTGAAAGTCATCAATAAGTCTCTGGTGTTCCATAGTTTCAAATTACATCCCCTAAAAACTATTTTATGTTGCTAATGGATAGAAATAATGTTGATGATATTGAAATGAGTCACTTCATAGAATTTCAGCTTGACCATTTCTAGAATTTTCTATTTAAATTAACTCCAATCTAGCCCTCCAAACATAATTCACTACTATTATTCTATAATACATTTCTGCTTTGGCCAAAGGTCTATTCTTTGTCCTCAAACATGCCTTGCATGTCTTTGCTCAAGTTGTTTCTCCACTCCTTGACTGTAGTGTCTTGCCTGCAGTGTCTCCTTATCCTCACCGTCCATCCCAATCTTAGCAGTTCTTCAAAGTCCAACTCAGATCTTTTCTTTGTATCTTAATGATCTCTCCTTCTGATGTACTTTATGTGCTCTAGCACATATTTTCTGTATTGCTTATATGATACTGTCTTGTGACAATACCAGGAATGCAGTTGGCGGCAATATGAGTGCTCATTATGGGATTTCAGCACTTTAGCAGAGTTCTTGTGAGTCCAGACAGGTTTCTCCATTTACCACATTTGGAAACTAAATTGTATCCATTTTTCCTATGATCGGTAGGTTAAGTGTTTGGTTCTACTCTCAGAACCAGAAAAAGTCTAATAGAAGTGCTGCCAGGAAAATATTTTATTTTATTTTATCTTAGTTCCAGGGTACATGTGCAGGGTGTGCAGTTTCATTACATAGGTAAACATGTGCCATGGTGGTTTGCTGGCACTATTAACCCATCACTTAAGTATTAAGCCCAGCACGCATTAGCTATTTTTCCTGATGCTCTCCCTCCTGCCACCCCCACCAACAGGCCCTAGTGTGTGTTGTTCAGGGAAAGTTTCAATTGTGAAAATAATCATATCAACAAACACTACAAGTACCTACAATGTGCCCGAGACTGTATTTGGTGCTTATATCACTTAAGCTTTAATTTTGTAAGCAATCGAAACCAACGCTAATAAGTACAAATCAATATATTTGAAAGATATGTAGAAACTCACGGAATCAAAAAGAATACAGAACCTGCCTCTAATATAATAGAAACCAAGTCTTCCTATGGGGAGGGGTGTGGGAGGAAGGCTTAGGATAAATAAACTCCAATTTTATTTTCCATTCATGAATGACAACAGTTAAATCCTGGGGGAAAACATATTGTTGTATTACACCAGACCCTCGATTAGGGAAAGGGCAGGGCACTTGGATTTACATTTTCTGGAGGACTGGTCACAAAATGAAATTCTAAAAGAATAAAATGTTAAAACAGAGTGAATTAAAAAAAAGACTATCATCAGAGGGCTTGATTTTATTATTTCTTTTACCCTATAAAGAGGATTATTACTATTGCACCAATTTTGCAGATGAGAAAATCAATCAGCTATTAAACACCAGATCCAGGATTCAGCGACAAGACCATCTGTCTCCAACATGGGGATTTCCTAATTTATACTGCATTGCTTCCCTGTGTTAAGTAAGCAAGCTTTGATCCAAGTTAAACTGAGTGAGGCATTTTCCCAAGGTAGTCAAGAGAATACAGTTGAGCCAAAGAGTCAGAATGTCAAATCAAAGTCAAGGATTTGCAAAAGCAAACAGCAAGGCCAGTAGCTCCAGGTTTACCATATTCAGGACTATCAGGTGGAGCTACCATTTATATCTAGTGAGGTATTTTCTATTGAATTTGGCATCCCCGATTCTAAATAAATGATATGACCTGCAGATTAAACATTTATTTTCAATAGCTCCTTAAGAGCTCCAGGTGAGTCCGCATCAAACTTGCATCCCATCTGAGCACTTGGGTATTGGAAAGAATCACTGCCATTATGAGTCATAGAATGAATAGTTTTAAATTGTGACCATGTGTATCCTTTTACGTTGTTAATTTTTTTCAACAATCTTGTATTATTTTTAGTCTCTTTAATTGTAAATTCTACTCTGCACATGAGTTTAGGTATACATTTTAAGAAAAATGTGGATAGGTGTGGTGGCTCAACACCTGTAATCCCAGCACTTTGGGAGGCCAAGGTGGGTGGATCACCGGAGATCAGGAGTTCGAGACCAGCCTAGTCAACATGGTGAAACCCCATCTCTACTAAAAATACAAAAATTAGCTGGATGTGGTGGCGGGTGCCTGTAATCTCAGCTAAATGGGAGGCTGAAGCAGGAGAACTGCTGGAACCCAGGAAGCAGAGGTTGCAGCGAGCTAAGATAGTGCCATCGTGCTCCAGCTCGGGTGACAACAGTGAGATTCCATCTCAAAAAAAAAAGAAAGTCAAAATGAAAACCCTTTCTCCATCACATAACTTAAAATATAACATTATCTTTGACTGTTATCCTATATACTTCTCCCCAGTTAAAAGCTCATCATTCCCCTGGAGAAACCACTATTCTGAGTTTGGAACTATTTTCTTACTTCATTTATAGTATTATCACATATGTCTGTTT